CGGCCATCATTAAGCGGGCAACGTCGACGGTGGTCGGCGTTCCTTTTTACGTTAGTCGCAACTGGTCGTTATATCGACGACCCGCGCCCTAAATTAGTTGAAGGCTAAATAGGTCGCGACGAGGATGCGGACGGTTTAAAAAAGACGGGTTTTGGTAGAAACGGGAGAGACGCGGGCATCCTCTAACGAGTACATGCACACTGTTTCGACGGTGCTGTTCATCAGTGTCCATAATAAAACCGTATTTGCCACCGCTTACTCAACTGTTACGTCTACTGTCTACGTTAGAGATATATTCCTCACTACATATATATAGCCAAAACGCAGAAAACGGAGTTTACTGGACGCCCTATAGAGTCGCCGAAGGAAGCAGTATTTCGCTGAATTTCTGAAATTTTTCTAGAGAGCACGTCGCCAGCACTAGGTGCATGCGATACAAAATTTACGCGTGTCCAGTGCTGATCATATATAGGCGTGTTCGTGCACGCTCTCGTTTGAGCGCGCGTTGGTGTGTACATGTGCATATGTGCGTCTTGGTGCGAGCGTGCGAGCATGTAGTGTATGCGTGAACGCGCGTGTTCGTGTGCTTGTGAGTGTGAGACAGAGAGGGTGTATGTACGTGTGTTAGTATGTCTATACATGTGTATGTGTGTGAGGGGCGTGCGTGAGTCCGTGGGCATAAACGTAGACGCGTGCATGCGCATTTGACAATGTTCGTGCGCGTGCGCATGCTCGTGTGCGTTTATGTACGAGCGTGCGTGCGTGGGTTCACTGATCTCTATAATATAATCATTATTATATTATATATTATATTATTATTATATTATAGAGATTAGTGGCGTGGTTGCGTAACAATGTTATCTGCATATTGCTACCTACCATCACGCTTTTGTGATTGTATTACATTATATATTATGTAAATTGTACGTGAGTCATAGCAGACGATTCGCTGATCTTCTCTATAAACCAGTGCTCAACAACAAACGTATCGAATTCACGAATAGGCTTTCGTTTTATTCCTCAAACTTCAAGGAGTGAGCCGTAATTGTACAAGATGAAAATATATTTACAGCAACATGAATATCATGTGTATAAGCAATTGTGACACAAGACAAGACCATCATATTTCTATTACAAATGAATGAAACTATAAACTATTTTCGCACTATAGCGCCAAGAGTCCTACCTTATCCAATCGCACCTAGTTCACTTCCACAGCGGTGCTGTCTCCTCATACACTTAAATGTTCCTACAATGCGGCATTGTTGGGGACTACCTGACCTGCCCTTCCCCGATTTTCTCGCTTCACCTCCTAAGAGCTACGTTTATATAAATGCGTTAGAAGCTTTTATCTCCTGTCGTCTGCTAATATATCCGTATCCAAAACATACGTCTCTGCCCGCATTCACTTGGTTGCCCTATGATAGTAAATACGTTTTTCGATCATGCGCCTAGACGCGCTCTCCTCTTCCAATTGCGCTGCCTGTTTATTCTCATCTCCGTCGTGTGTAATTGCCAGATCTATCTCTATCATTAGCTGTGATTGAATTCGCTGCAAAACGAAACCTCGGATTTCTCTTAATCTCATTCCACTAAATCTCAACATCCGGGTCATTAACGTGGGAATGCTGTCGTCATCGTCGCTGTCGTCGTTTAGTTTCCGGTGTAGACGCTGTCGACGTCAGCGAATCCCCAGACGGGTTCCTCGATGTCGGGCGGCTTTTCTCTATATATATTTTATCTTTACTCCTTGGTTATTACTTTGTTATTTTCCTGTAACTCTAGACTTTGGTGTAGCTTCTCGCTCTCCTCTCTCTCGTCCTTCGCTTCTCCATCTCCTCGTCTCGCTCTCGCGTCCTCTCGCCTTCTTCTTCCTCTCTTCATCTCCCCTCGCTCTTCTGGCTCCTCTTCTCTCCTCTCTTCATCTCTCGCCCTCCTCTCGGCTCTCCTCGCCCCTCCTTTCTCCCCTCTCCTTGTCTCCTCTAGTTTGCTCTAGGTCCTGGCTGCAGTGTATCATGTCCCTCCTCTTGTAAGCATTCATGACGGTCACTCTCTCTATGACGGAGAGCGTGTCTCTTCTCCTTAACTGTCAGTTCTGATAAGAGTGTTTACCTTATGGTTTATCTCGTTATTCTCTAAATAAATTTGTGAGAGGTGGCTCTGCAATTCTCTTCGAGCTAAAGTCGCAGTACTCTCCTTCGCATATTTCTCTGTTTCTACGATGTTACTCGAAGCCGGAGAAGACCAGAAGAA